TGCTTCCCACTCGCCAAGGGCATGCAAACAACGCATCTTGCCCATGACAATGTCGACAGGAATTGCCTGGTCTTCAGGCACCTCCGCCTCTCGCTTGTTGTAGAAAGCCAGTGCTTCCTCCCAACGCTCCAACTTCTCGAACCATGTCTCCCGCAGCTGAATGCCTTCCTTATACAATTGAGCTTTGCGGAGAATACCGATAGCAGCATCAGACTGCTGAAGCTGATTGTTGATAACGATCAGGGCCTCGACAGCGCCACTGCTCTGGTCCTGCAGGAACTCGAGTTCCTTGTAGTGCAAGGCCTTTGCATAAGCGTGACAGCGAGCAGCCTCCCTACCCAGCACCCGAATGTCAATCGGCAAAGCCTTGTCGTCATGCTCCATAAACTCGGCAAGGTTGAGCAGAAGTCCAAGCAGATCAGGTGGGACGTTCTCTGACTTGATGGCGCTTTCGATGTTCTGGATGAGCTCGTCCTGGAACTGTTCGTACAGCTCGCTCCAGCATGACACAAACGCCGAGTTGAACAGTTCTCGTGCCAGAGGCAGGTAAACACTTGCGAGACTAGCACAGGCTCGCAGAGCGTGATTCGGAGATTCAGTCAGCAGAGTTGTGCTGAATCGTCGCAGCCATTCTTGCCAATCTTCCTTGGTCGACTTGCCCTTAGTGTCCCAAGCGGCCTTGAGATGAATGGCGTTCATCTCCAGCTTCTTCGTTCCTTGGTCAGCAAAGGTAGGCTCCTCCGATCCATCGGCAAATCGATCGGCAGAGCTCAGATCCTGAGGCAAAACCTCACCCTTCTGCAGCTTGCTGACAAAAAGCTCGTAGTTGGGGTGCTGGATCTGATGCTGGTTGATGGTCTTGTTGACGGTACCCATAAAGTGGAGGTAATCCTTGCCCAGCTGCTGAATAAGGGCACAGAGGGTGTCCAGAGCAGCCAGTCGCAGCTGAGGCTCTCCCATGTCCAACACACGCGTCAGTGGGTGGATGATCTTTGCAGCGTAGTCGTTGAGGTTGACTTGACGCGAGATCTTTCCAATCGTGTCGATAGCCTGCTTTCGAATGAAGGTGGGCTGACCCTGCTTCTCAAATGTGCGCACAATCACAGGAATGATGAGATGCATGTACTCCTCGGCACTGGCACCAAACACCAAGAAAGCATGCATCACCCTCTCCGACGGGGTGCGCTTAGCAGAGGTGTCCTTGTCAAGAACGCCAAGCATCAGCGGAAGGAGACTGGCCAGATAAATCTTGAACTCTCCCTCAAGAGACCTTGATATGGCCTCGACAAGAGACATGATGGTGGTCTGAAGTGATGGTGACGTGTGCCAGTATTCTTGCAAGATCTCGACAATGTCCGGGAGATAATTTCTGATATGCTGTCGGACAATGCTAACGAGAGTTGCCAACTGGTTGAAGTAGGACTCCAATCTTGTGGAGGTAGCAGACCTGATGACATGGAGGAAGGCCGGTATGATTCTATCAAGAAACGACACACACTCCAGTCCCAGGGTGCGAAAGATGTTCATAATTGCTTCAATCACAGCTGCGTGGTGCTGTACCAGAGACGGATCTTTGAGGATTTGCAGAAGGGCGTTGATAACGACGGTCGGGAAATACTCCTTGTTTGATGGGGTCAAGCCCGTCATCATGAGGGAAATGTCTGTCAGCTGGTTGGACTCGAGACGTCGGGCATCCGGTGTTCGTTCTTCGACCTGTTGGCTCAGTTAGTATCCAATTCCTGCTAGAAGTGCTTCAAGAACTTACCTGATGCTTGTATGGATCGAGGGCACCCAGGATACCCATCAGTTTGATGGTCTCCTGCCGTAATGGCGCCCGTTGTCCCTCGGTTCGGATAATGCTCTGGAGAATCTCCAAGAGCTGTGGATATTCAAGGTAGGGCTCGATGACATAGCCGGAGTTGCTGGCCAACTGTCCCAGGGCATGCAAAGCGGCTTCTCGCTTCGAGTTAGAGCTCTGATCTTGCAGCGCATCGATGATGAGCGGCATCAGGCGGTCCTTGTATGGCAGCATGTCCTCGCCGCCCACAGTCGCAAGCTCACCAATCGCCTTGAGAATGGTGGCCGCAACTGAGGGGTTAGAATCATTCGCCTTGGGAAGCAAAACCGAAATCATGGGTTCGACGTAAGGCTTGATCAGGGACTGTGCATTCTGAACCAAGAGACTCAGAAGCTTGGCACTCTCTTCCTTGCTACGGGCGACGTCGGAGAACTCAAGCTCAGTGAGCATCTGAATGAGAGTCTTGCGGAGCGAAGGGATGACATATGCTGGGTTGTATCTAGCCAGGCGACCAATAATGGAGATGGCAACCTCTCGGATCGAAAAGACCTCGTCGTTCAGAGCGAAAAAGAGGATGCGAATGTTTTCCGCCTTGGCCAGGTGTCGGTCAAATCGCTCGTCGAGAGCCGCCAGGACGGTCCGTCTAATGGTAGGTTCGGGGTCCGAGACTCCGACGGTCAAGAGCTTCTCGATGACATCGCCAACAACCTGTAGCGCATGGTAACTGGTCTGGTTGACAATGGGGTCACGGACGTAAAGCTGGCAGCAGGTCAAGGCCGCAGCTTCACGGATCTCCGGATCCTCATCCTCCACATACTTGATCGCCACGTCGCGGACAAACTCGTTCAGAACATGGCCGGAGAAGTCGAAGCTTCCGAGAGTGTTAAGCGCCAGCTTCACCTCGGCCCTCCGGTGCTCATAAGCCAGGGGGTCCTTGGCGTCCTTGGGGATAATCGGCACCGAGTTGAGTGTGTTTGGCTGTGGTGCGCCAAGAGGCTTGAAAGGTTCACCACACAGAACAACGCTGAGCATGTCAAGGAGTCTCTCCTGGATTGTCGGCTTGACGGGTGGGATATAGAAGGCCATGTCGACAAGGGCCTGGGTGAGCTTAGGAGTGAGGTCACACGCAAAGATGGGGTCCAGCAGTGCTTCCATGTACTTGCTCAAGGTCTGGCCGACAGCCACGGCAAGCCTGCTGATGCAGTCAAAGACGGGGTCCACTGAGCCTCTCTTACGAGACTGAATGCTGAGGCCTTCGCGCACGTAGATGAGCACACCGTCGAGGTAGGGAGCGATTGCGCTTTTGACCGAGTTGGCGATGTTACCGATGGCAAGGAAAGCGTCATTACGCTCCTTGTCCTTCTTAAGCATGCCAGACAAGTAAACCATGAACTTGTGTAGCCACGTGTGGGCAAAGTCAGCTGGGGAATAGCTGGCCAGATCGGGGATCAGAAGCACCACAGTCTTTCTGATGGTCGGGTCTCGATGATCCTTGTGCTTGAAAACAATGTCGCAAGCCTGCTGGTAGTGTTCCTGCATGTACATGGCTCCCTGTTCGAGGAGCTCCTTCAGGACGAGTAGCGAACCGTGGACGGACTCGACTGTGTTAACCTTGAGTCCTTGCTTCGATTCATTGTAAATCTTGCTCATCCACAACTGCTTCATCTCTTGGTCTCGCTCGCGGAGGATTCGGAAGCAGGCGCTAACTGTCTCTGCCGACGTCGCACGGATGAGCTGTCTGGAATCTCTAAGTCCAACCCAGATCCAGTCGAAGATGGTCGGGATGTATTGATACATCAGAGTCGGCGCGCTGCGGGCGAGTTCTCGAAGAACGAGCACCGCACTATATCGTCGTTCCTCTACACGGTCGTTCTGGAGCCATTCGAGCGCTGTGTTGACCTCCGAGTCCACCAACTCAGATATCAAGGAGCCACCAGGTCGACAAAGCTTTCCCAGGGCGATCGCGGCAGGCTGCATCGGATTGATGTCTTTTCCTCGGAGGATCGTTTTCAAGTTCTGTGTGAAACGCGTATATTTAGCGGACATATCAACACCCTCGAAATCGATGAGCGCATCGAGAGCGTAGATGCCGCCCAGGCGTTCGGAAGAGTCGTTGCCATGTGTGATGAGATGCGTAATCTTGTTGTTGACGGCATTGTAGAAGGCGAGGAATTGCTCAGGGCTCAGGTCTGAGAGGAGGTTAGCAGCAGCTCGGTTCTGGGTTTTCGTCCGATCTCATACCTCGATGGCAGACAACTACGAGCTCCCGAAGCTGTATCGCAGACCGTTTGCGCACATCGTCGCCGCTCCTGCTGCAGAATTAGCATCCATGATTCATCAGGCGCAGCTAGCAGCCACTCAAAACCTACCTCGAACGAAGGCCACGAGTGATGTATTCAAGCCGCTCTAAAGCGACCTGCTGTGCTTGTGCCATGTTGCCCGTATGGCACTCGGATTCGATCGATCAACGTCGCATGTACTTTGATAGAGAGGGCCCGGAAGGCGGGCTATCGCGTGGTCGGGCAAAGGTTGAGGTCGGGCGGGGAGTAGTTGGAGATCAAGCTTCGAGTCCAACGAGGAGCGCGCAGCCGAGTACGTGTCGTCTGCTTTTGGGGAACGCGGATAACGAGGGGACGAGAAGAGATGCTCTGATGTGTATATAAGTTAATGAACGCCGCCCTCAAGCAGGCACCAGCTCAGCGAACGTCCTTCACAGGCGCATCGCTTTGTTGTTGCTTACGGGGAAGTTGAGGTTGGTAGCTTGGGTCAGGCGGAGGGCATTAGATTGACCTGAGGTTTGGAATTAGCGGGCCAACCGTGGAGTAGTGCCGAGGTGCTAGTACAGTGTCAATTGCTAAGGTATTCCCCTTAGCGTCACAATATGGTGCGGGTCTCACAGTGCATTCAACTCTTGATACGGTTAAGATACAAAAGTCTCAACGCTTATCGATAAGCCCCAAATCTTAGGAATTAGGAATCGCCTCAACCTGGTAGGAGCCTTGGTTGTATGTTCCACTCTCACAACTATTCGCCCATCTTCTATCCCACGCGCCATTTATCCATTCTATCCTCATCTTGGTGTTTCCGTTTACCTGATCACGCGACTTTAACCCTCTCTTACCGCATCTTCGAACTCTATCTCGCCTGTCGCGCAGTCTGCGCCTCTCGATCGATTCCCCTGCATTCCCCTCAATCAACAACCATGGGTAACGACGGCGGCTCGATCCCTAAGCGTCGCGAGCTTGTCAAGAACGCAGCCCGTGCCAAGACCGTTTCCGAACTCAAAGCCACGGCACTCGAATCACTTGCTCATGCATGGGCTCACTGCGCACTGAGTGGCGAACCCCTCGACATCGACACCGTCGTCTCGGACTGGCGCGGGCGCCTTTACAACTACGAAGCGATCCTAAAAGGCTTGATGCCATCAGACGATCCGAACGATATCACGCCCTCGAGTTTAGGAATCAAGTCTCTGCGGGATGTGGCGAAGCTAAAGGTGTCTAAGAGCGGCAGCAAGTGGGTGTGCCCCATTTCGATGAAGGAGCTGGGTCCTGCCGTCAAGGCTGTCTACCTGGTGCCTTGCGGGCACGTATTCGCCGACGTGGCAATGAAGGAGATTCAGGAAAAGGCGTGTCCGGAGTGTGGTGTGGAGTTCAGCGAAGACAACATCATTACGATCTTGGCGACCACAGAAACAGACGTCGAGCGACTAGAGAAGCGAATGGAAAAGCTCAAGGGCCAAGGGTTGGCACACACATTGAAGAAGGACAAGTCAGAAAAGAAGAAGAAGCGCAAGGGTGATGATCTAAAGGAGGAGGAGGCCAAAGCCGCAGGCAAGGAGAACGGCAAGTCGGGGAAGAAGGAGGACTCCAGGATCAGCGGCATCAACAACTCATTTGCAGCTTCGTTGACGGCCAAGGTCCTGGCTGAACAGGATGAGCGGAATAAACGGAGAAAGTTGGTGGCAGAGGCGGCTAGAGGTTGAAACATGATGATGATAGTTCGCACTGAATACTGATACCCCTTTGATGTTGGAAACATATCTATAATGCTTTCATGCTCAACTCAACGTATGCGAAGTCTACCCAACCTGCAATTTACGGATCCATACCAATTGATGGTTCCATGTCCGAGACAAGATGTTTCTTAGTTCGCTTATACCAATCGTCCATCAATTCGGGTTTGAGTAACCACATGGATGAAAGTCAGCCATGTTTGGTACAAACAAGCCTACCAAACTTGAAAGCTACTTTTAAAATGATAATTGTAATATTTTTTCTCGCTTCCGATATCCCGGAGCCCTTGTGACACGGCATTGATTGCGGTTGATCCATCATTCTGGATCCTCTCATGATGCCCTAGGGTAGCAAGCGAAGCAAGACAAGTGGCGGCGATCACCCGTTGTGAGACATCGTCAAATCAATCTGCATGGGTTCATACAAAGGAGAAATAAAAACGTATCGTTTTGGCATGTGACGCGTTAAGTTTTAATTGGTAATATCATGCATGTTATGTCATTTATATCGTCAACTATATTTCCAACACGTCTCATGAAGCCATCATCATCATCTATAGAACAATCATTCACACCAAACAAAACCAACTCCTCGCTTTCCTTTAAATTCCATCGCATCTTCAACATCTCAAAAACTCCCTCGTAACCTTCCACTGCGTCTGCCCCGGTTCAGGATCCTGGAAGAAAGTTGTCCAAATTCCCCCATCCTCAGCCACCCCGATGATGGCATTCTTGATCCGCCGATGCTCAGGGACTCCAAACGGCGACTCGAGGCTCGCTGACTTGAGAGCGGCGGTATCGAGCTGCTGAATACCCTCGAGGGCTGCTGTTATCGGCGACATGGGCTCGGACATGTTGCTTGGTGAGGACATGCTTGACGCGCCGCTCCCGGGCGTGTTGCCTGCGACACTTTCTGTTGGCGTTGGATCGGTAAATGTCGGCGGCAGTGCAGGGAGAGTGGGAGGACTCGACACGTCAATCTTGATCTTTCTAGCGCTGCATGTGTGGATGTCGAAAGACCCGGACTCAGAAGAGCCTTGGCTTGAAGATTCTGCATTGGTGGACATGGCGCTTAATGTGAGATCTAGGGGATCCTGGATATCGGACTCTTCAAACTCAATGATACGAGCAGCGATCACGGCCGTTTCGCGGACGTGCCAGAGATTCTCCCGCCTATTCCGCATCTGCTCTCGAGTTAGGAGCTTGAGGGCTGCCCTTCGCAGCAAGGGATGACGACATTTGATTGCAGTCCAGTACACAGGAGCGACGAGTTCCGTCTCAAAGGTGAAGGGCTCCAGCTTGGAATTTGTGGGAATAGAACCAATGACAGAAGATGCGAGGGAGATGATGGATGCGAATGCCGGGAGATGCGCATCGAATGCAAGCTCGGATGTCTGCAAGGATGTGGATATCCAGACCAAGCTTGCCTGGTGATACATTCGGAGAATGTTCAACTGGCTCTCCAAGGCTGGAGACTGCGGACTCATCGAGGTGAGGACGGTAAATGCGGCGTACCACCTGCTGACTTGCGACAAGAGTCGTTGCTGTTCGTTCTGGAGCTGCTGCATGACTAGAGGATCGCAATTAGGATCAAAGGCAATGGCATGCGCTCTTGTACCGAACTGCAAGCCTTCATCCAGGATCAGATACAGGCCGTACCGAGCCTCTTCAATGGTCGCAAACACGGCGGGCACCTCGACCCAGGCTCTCAAGTGGTTTGGGATAGGGTTAGGGCGACTACCAAAGAGGAAACTCGAGAGACTCAGACGCGTGTATATCGGTACGAGCGAGCGCTTCACCATCTCCATTGTTGAAGAGTGTCCGTCGCCTAGACCTGAGAGGATCTTTCGACCCTGGCAGATGTGCATCTGAGCAGCCGAGTCGCGGTCTGCTAGGAACTCGACGCAAATAAAGAGGATGCAGACGAGGAGTGGAATGGCCGAGGGTTCATCGCGTTGAGCCCAGTTGCGCAACGACGTGATGGCATTTCCATACTCTCGAAATGCAAATCGCGTATCAAGCTTGTGTCCCGTTTTGCTTCTAGAGTCAACGGCCTCATGAAGACTGCTAATGGCCAATATCGCGTGGCGCACGGCTGGCTCCGACGCGCTCATCTTCATGACCAAACCACCCCAGAAGCCCGTATCAAACGGCCCAGACAAGATCTTGGAAGTACGCGAGCGGTAGTAATCAAAAGCGCGCGTCTCAGCTGGAGACCCAAAGCCGGGCGATGGACTAAGCGATAGAGGCTCTGGGGAAGAGTTTGGCGTTTGGCGATAGCCATCGCATTTGCGGCCTGTTTTGATACATCGTAGACAATGAGGCTTTGCTTCGTCGCACTTGACTTTTCGAATTCTAGATAAGAGTCAATGGATGTTTAGAAGAGTAGCAAGATGAGAGGAGACGGACTTGCAGGTTATGCAGCCAGTCCGGACCTTTTTACTCCCCTTGCGTCCCGATGGCTTTGGACTTGTCTGAGAGGGGAGTGAGATCATGTCGGCTACCAACAAAGAAGAGAGTAAAATATTAGGGCAAGAACAAGAAGTCCGAGATCAAGAGTCCGAGCCGGTCAATGAGGGGAAAAGAGGGCGGGCGATGGGGATTGTTTATTGCTTGTCATCAACAGGCGCCGATCCTTCTACCATGCCCGCCTTGATGCTTACAAGGGACCCCTGGAATCTAAGCACAGCCCGCCCCGCGGAGAGGCGCTGTCAAGATGTTCGCGTCTAAGGCTGGGGCTGTGAGACGGAGCCACGATGAGGTGTCATTGATGGAGCCCTATGAACTGCTGGGGTATGATGGGAAGCTTGTTTAGTGTCTTTTGTTTCATGTCTAATTCGGTTTATTTTGGCTTTTGGCTGTGTCGAAGAATAGGGTAAATTCCGAGCTGATGTCATTGACCAAGGCCGATATTCACAGCAACAGGCTGTCAGACATTGACAATCTAGCAAGGGTTAACACAGAAGATTGAGGATACTGAGAAGCACCAAGATAAAATAAACAGTGAATGGCCTCATGTCAACTGCCGCCACAAGTCCAACGCCAAGAAAATGACATTCCAAGCTTGGCATAGGGCTCACATTCTACACAAGAAACAAGCAAAACTCTAATGAAAGGAACACCAACAACCGGTTTCATCAATACAGTCAGACAGAAGTTCCTGCATCTTTCAATGCCTTGGTAAGCGTAAAAAACGCCTCAGCCTTACAAGACCTGACCGTTGGAGGGCTGCTCCACACGGAAGCTATCGCCAACCCTTGCTGCTCATCTCTTATTGGCTCGCTCGGACTCGACCTCGGACTCTGCCGTTCGCATCCCCGCGCGGCTCTTCCCTTGGGTGCGCTTTCATCTTGTTCCCGAGTCTGAGCCTCGATGTGGCATCGGCTCCAAGGGATAAGCTCGCACTTGCTGGTCCGAGATTAGATGCTGATGGTCAAACGTGTAGTCGACGCCTTCAATCTCACGTTTACTGGATGTTGTGAGGATCTTCAAATGAGAGTGGAGGCTTGGACGGATTGTCGGGCTTGGCTGGCATGGATGAGCAAGTCATGGTCTAAGTTTGGTCGCTTCTTGTTGACGATCCCTTTAACTTGGTGGTGATGGTATGAGCTCCTATCTGTGTATATAACTTGGAGGTTCGACATGGAAATAACGAAATCTTCATCCTCATCCCCATCATTCATCACTCGCTTCTTTCCTTCTTCTCAAGTATAATATTCCCTTTCTTCAAAACACACTAACACCAAATGCCATCCTTCTCAAAGCTGGTGGCCGCTGTGGCCGTCGGCGCACTCACTCTCGTCGATGCCAAAGCATGCCCTCCTCTAGGCGCCGTCTTCCCAGCTCCCCAAGCTCCAGGCCAGAGCAAGCTTGTTCAAACTGCAGCTACAAAACTCAAGGCTGGTCTTGAAGAACAGATCACCTCCTTGTTCAACACCTCAGCCCTATCCATCGGCGTCAAGTCCATCCACGAGGATGACCCGCTCTTTACCTACCACTTCACGCCTCCCAACCCTGGTGAGGGTACCGACAAGGTCGATGAGAACACTGTCTTCCGAATTGCCAGTGGTTCCAAGCTGTTCACCGTGCTTGCTGCCCTTCTAAATAGCGACATTGACTTTGAGGCTTCTGTGCTCAAGTATCTTCCCGAGCTTAACGAGACTGCCAAGGAGGATGGGATCTTTTCACTCAAGTGGGAGGACATCACCGTTGGATCTCTAGCTAGCCACCTTTCTGGCGTTGGTGTTGACCGTAAGTCGTCATCTTCCTCTTCTGGAACGATTCGCTAACCCGTACTAGTGGCCCAGGATTTGGGAATCATCGGATCTGCTCCTTGGGCGCAGATGGGTCTCCCCCAGTTCGCTAAGGGTGACGGTCCTACATGCTCTGGCCTTCCTGGTACTATTCCCTGCACTAAGAAGGATCTCCTCGAGCAGGTCAACCTCCGACCTCCTGTGTACGGACCCTTCACTAACCCCGTCTACTCTAATGTTGGCATCGCTCTGTTGGGTCTTGTGGTTGAGGCTGCTGCCAAGAAGCCTTTTGCTGAGGTCCTCAAGCGCGACATCTTTGATGTTGTTGGCATGAAGAACACTTACGTCGGCAAGACCCCCCCTGTTGAGGATCTCTTTATTCCTGAGAGTGAACCCACCTGGAATGCCTCTCTTGCCGTGTTTGACAGGTGAGTAGCAATGATGCACACTCGTCGACTATCACTGACTGTTAATAGCGCTGGCGGCATGTTCTCTTCCGTTGCCGATATGCTCCTGCTCGCTGAGGGTATCCTCACCAACAAGTTCCTCTCCCCCGCCCAGACTCGCAAGTGGATGAAGCCCGTCGCCAACACCGCTTCTTGGGGCTATCAGGTTGGAGCTCCTTGGGAGATTCTCCGTGGTGACAACATCACCGTTGATGGCCGCCTCATCGATGTCTACACTAAGAGTGGTGACCTTGGCTTGTACCACTCGCAAACCGTTCTCATCCCCGACTATGACATTGTCATCTCCATCATGTCGGGTGGCAGGGAGGCTTCTGCCAACCAATATGTCACCACTACTGTTCTCAGCGCCGTTATCGACGCTCTCATTCCTGCAGTTGAGAAGGTCGGCCGTGACGTTGCCAAGGAGGCCTTTGCCGGCGAGTACGCCGACAAGGAAACCAACTCGAGTATCTCTTTCAAGGTCGACAATGGTCCCGGCCTGGTCATCAACAGCTGGCAGATCCGCGGTTTCGACGTTCTCAACCACATCGGCAGCTACAGCTTCGATGCCCTCGAGTCCGGCAAGGTCGAGAAGAGCAAGTACGTCGACGCGCGCGTATACCCTACCAACCTGAACAAGAAGGGTCAAACCGCCTGGCGCACCGTCTTCGACATGACCACATCCCAGCAGGACGCCGAGTACGAGAGCGCTCTCTTCTTCAAGGACGGCACGTGCCAGACATGGTTCGCGCAGGACCGCAAGGTGTACGACTTCCTTCCCCTGGACGAGTTTGTCTTCATCGAGGGCGACGAAGGCGTCAGCACGGCTGTCAGGAACCCTGCATTCAATGTGACCCTCACCAAGGTACGCGAGCCCGGGTCAAAGAAGGCGACGACCAATGCAGCTGGCCAGACTCTGGAGGTGAATGCCGCGCTCGGTCTTGGTCTGGCGGTATTGGCGGCGTTTATGAGCATGTTCTAATAGCTGCAGGTCAAATATTAGGCAATAATATGTTTGTGGTGGAAGGGAGATGGATGTGAGGGTGTGATAGACATTGTGTATTAGAGTGTATATACTTGGAATAATTTGACGCTATCGTACCGTGGATTGCTGCCTTGGCTCCCCTTTGTGCGCCATGAAATCTGCCTCATGTTTGACGCTATTCACCCTAGAGTCAGAGGGTGGTGAGTGTCAATGACTCCCTTGTTGACAGCTTCTGACGGCGGCTAATGGTATTCAATGACAGGAATTGATGGCGTGAAATATGACACATCTGGCCTCATCTCAACAATCTCCTGCCAACCTGAAACGATTGTCTTGACAATGACGGCGACATCTATCAAACAAACCCCCAAAATCTGGCCCCCAAACTCCCCTCCCAGGGCGAACCGTAGGGCTGACCAGCACCATCGTATCGCCTGCCTGGAAGCGACACTGCCCATGCAACAACGGCCATCACGAGCGAATCAGAAGGCCGGGGACGACGCGATCACCAGGGAGCTTTGCCCCTTTGGTGGCCCCTGACGGTGGAGCGAGGGCAGGGGTTTTTATACCTACAGGACGGAGGGGCCTCCTGTGACGTGCAGAGGTGAGGTGCTTTTTTCCAAGTAGGCGAGGCAGCCTGCCCTGAGGCCCTGAAGGTGTTTCTGGGGGCCAAATCGCGGGGTGATGAAATAAAGAGGACATCATGACACGGGAATGCTTCTTGAATATTGCGGCGTTGAGAAGAATCGAACTCGCATAAAAGTTTAAAAATTACGGGAAAAAATAATAAAATAAAATAAACATATATAAAAGCCTATTGAATATCTCAATAGGTGTGTAATACCTGCTCAGCTGCCTCAGGGACGGCCGTGTTGCAGATTCTGTAGGTACTAATGTCTTATCATTTTCTTCCCCTGCCTTGCATCAAAGGATGACGGAGGGGATGCATCGCCCTCTCCGGCGGCTCCATTCCCTTCCCTTCTTCCTCTTCCAATTCATTTATTATTAGATAACTCGAGGGTTTCATCTCAGCTTTTTCTGCTACAATCAATCTTTCACTCCTTGATTTCCCTTTTCCTCTTTTCTTGCCCATTCATCGCCGCTCATTCTCATTTCCTTGTCTCTTTTTTTGGTGCAATTAAGTGGCAGCAGCAAGGCATTGTTTATGCTGTTTCAACTTGATTAAGTGTTTCTTACCTTTCGTCTCATCTCTCGACTCGGTTATCGTCAACGACCTGCATCACCATCGCTTCAACATCTCTTCAAAAACCTCTTGAAAGCCGCTTCAAATGACAGATCAGAGCGGTCGCATCGGCGAGACAGGCCTTCATCATCTCCCGCTCAGGGTGCGAGAAGCGCAAGGACGCCATAGTGATGGCGCCGTCTCCAAGTTCCCCAACTTTAGGAGCGACACCACGCGAGTAGCCAAGCGACTCCCCGAGAGTCTTCACTTTACGCCTGGCGCGTTTCGTCTTCGTTCGCCTACAGAGTCTTCCATGAGTAGCGTCTCATCCGCCAATGTCCCAGACTCTGCCACGACGCATTCGCTGTCAACTCTCGCCAGTCCCATCAGCACCACTTACGCCAGTTCAATTCACGAGCAGTTTGCTGCCACGACGCTCGACGGCTCAAGGCCCACCAGTCGCATTTGTCATCGCCACAATCCTTCCAGCGGCACATGCTCGACCTTTGTCAATGACGAGGATGACGGCGCCATTGTTACCGGCTACCCCGACCAGTTTGAGCTCAAGCTTCGCAATCTGCAGGAGGACCAGAGGCCTGCCATTATTCAAGAGCCTCCTGCGCCTGTGAGGTAAGAATTTGCCAATGTTTTTGAGATGATTAGGTCGCTCAAACAAGTCCCAGTCCTCTCACAGAGTCGCCAGTCAAGGAGGAGAGGGTTCTGACCCCAATCTCATCGCGTGACTCGGAAGAACCGGATTGCGATGCTGACGAAGAGGGGTCTGAGACGGCCGAAGAGGACGTGTCGCCGGAGGATGCCAACCTCGTTCTCAATTACACCCTTCAACTCATCTACGGGGTTGATCTCAGCGACGCGTCAATCTCTCCAGAAAAGGTTCAGAGCCTCGTGTCCAACTTCGCCCAGGATATTAGTCAGCACATCTGGCAGTCAGCATCTGATGGCCAGCTCTCTCACACCTTGTCGACCTCGAGCTCATCGTCGTCGACGCCATCTCAGGAGGGCGGACGAGGCGGTAAGCGGAAGAAGCAAATCAGGCGCGAAGATGAAGGAGATGAGTTTAGCGACGGCGACGGTTCGGGATATCTGCCGACCAAGCGTGTTCGACCGAACCCGAAGGAGGACGAGAATCTCCGTCTGAGCTGCCCGTTCAGGAAGCGCAACCCGCACCGTTTTAATGTGAGGGATCATCACAGCTGCGCCATGACATATTTCCCCAAGTTTGCAGAGCTCAGGTTAGTTGAACTAGGTTGTCTTCTAAGAACAACAGCTGATCCGCAGCAGACAGCACATCGTCAAGCAGCACAAGCGGGATGACCCTTCATCCTACGTGTGCGATCGATGCAATCGCGATTTTGTGACGAGAAAGGAACTGCGAGATCACCAACGACTGCCTAAGGAGCTCATGTGTGATATTGCGGATCATGACGCTGAGAGCGGCATTGACCCCAGCACGGCCACCAAACTGCTGAGCCGAAAGCGAGCGAGTGGTACCTCTCCTGAAGTTCAATGGAAGGAAATCTGGAACATTGTGTTCCCAGACGATGAGGACAAGGCCGTTCAGCCATATGGTAAGATACCTTGTTCACATGAATTAGAGGACAAACGAGTTGCTGACTTGCGCTAGAATACACACCTGTGATTGAGCATTTTGAGCTCGCCGCCAACTACGAACAGGCCTTTGTTGAGCTCACGAACTCGCTCCACAACTTGATCTCCAACAAACAAACCCTCGACACCCTCTCGACAAAATTCTTCCAATGCTTCATGGAGACTCTTGACCAATGCATCACAAACGCCAAGAGCATGCCCTACACCAACCGCAGCAACAAGAAGAGCGAGATTGTTCGGTCACAAGCCGCGCAACCAGTCGTCCAGCGGAAGGGCCGCGGTATCCTACCTCGACCAGATTCTGGAGTGGTCATGGATGACGGGTCTGAGGAGAGTGGCAGTATGATGGGAACTGGACTCAACCACAGGGATAGTGTACGGACTGTTTGCGGTGTTGCGAGGAGGGGAAGCAGCCAAATCCCCGAGACGGTGCGCGAGGTCCTCCCCACAACGACAGCTCTGTCGAGCGGCCTTGACGACTTGATGCGTCAACCCTCCATGACACCGATGGGCATGCCAACAACGATGGCCCCAGCAGATGTCCACGCCTGGAACAACAGCGTACTCTACTCACAAGTCGGCGACGGCACCATCCTCCCAGACCAATTCATGCCCGGAGGTGGTTTGACGCCGCAGACCGAGTACATGAACATGAACTGGGCAGCGCAGATGTACCCACAGACAGGCTTTGACGGGATGGGTAATGGGTTTACCGGATTTAATGGACAGCAGCAATGAAGAAAAAGGTGGCATGGCTTGATGATGCAGGCTGTGCCTGCTTGTACTTTTAGTTATAGTATTAATATCCGCTGCGCTTTGAAGCGAGCGAGGAATGTGTGTGCGATACAGCACTTGACACGATAGTCTTCATGAATTACAGATATTGCTTTATTAATGGACATCGGGATGATGAAGTTGGGGATGACTGGCAGACGTGCCATGATTATTGGGCTCTAAGTGAGGAACCATCAAATATCCGCTATTATGATTTCTCCCAATCCTTGGCCAGCAGCTTTCTGTACCATCAACTCCTTGGCCTGCTCCGCCAAGTTCCAAGTTACAGCGCACTCTCCAAGCGCCTGCATCAATGGCTGGGCTTCAGCGGGTACCCCTAGGGTGTTCATCGCCCGACTGGCTTGAACGATGCCGTAGACGAGGATCAACGGGGCATGGCGGAGGCCATATTGATGCCGGTATCGTCGCAGTATTGATGCAATGTCTTCTGCTGAGGAGAGACAATATTCGCGAGAGGCTTGGTCTGCCGCTGTGGGTAGTGATGAGAGGGCTTGGTCAAAGTTGAGGGCTATACGAGCGCTGTGGAAGAGCAGACTGGGACTTGTAAGCGACTTGATTGACTGAAAGGAGAAGGGGAACTGACTGAAGCATGGCGACACTGGGAATGAGTGGCGTGTCAATTGGCTCCCATTTATTCCACTCTGCGCGACCGGGTAATGCTGCCTTCCAGCGAAAGAGCTCAATGTTGAGTGTATCCAGACAAGCTCTGCGACTCATACCGTCCATGTTGGATCTAGGAGAGAACAATGTGCATAGCATGCGCTCGATTACTCTTGAGAGATGGATCTGTTCGCGGTAGTATGGGACCATGGATCCGATCTTGGTCAATTCGCTATCGGTGCCTGAGAAGCCGACTGACCGCCATGGTCTCAGCTCTGGATAATCGCTGGATCGTAGTTAGTATAAGAGAACCCAAGCAGAGGGAGACCTAATCTTACGGCTGCTGCTCCATCGGCTCAACTTCTGCGTCGTCGTAGTAGAGGAATACCGGCCGCCCAAGGATGAGACTAATGAGCTTGTCCGAGATGTAGCACCCCCAGTAAATGCGTCTTCTTATCTCGACATCTTCATCAGTAGTTAAAGACGCATCGTATGAGATCCAGTTCTTTGGATCTTTCTGGAAGCCCATGTCTTGGGCGATGCGAAAGGCGATGCCTGTGTGGGATGAGTATGAGATGGTAGTGAGCCTGGGACATTAGTCAAGAGCTTACCAGAAAATCCCCAACCTTTTGAAAGATTACCTCTTCCAATCTCATAAAAAGCCAGGCATAAAAACGCCTGCACCGTAACGATGGACGGCCTAGTAAGGCCAGTAACCATGAGTATACTCTCCGCTGCCGTGTAAAATTGCTCACTCGACCTCCGATCCTCCTCATCAGGCGACATCAAAGTTCCAAGAGCGCAGATAGAGAGCAGTAATGCAGAAGACCAGTACTTGCAATTGACACGATCTCCAAAGTGATCCTGTAAAAACCCCTCACGGTAGATAAACATGAACTGCGGATACTGCCATTTGAAGAACTGCATGAGCGCTTTCGCAATGACCTCGTCTTCTATGTTGATCCCAAAGTGCTCTAGGACGTGCGCGAAATTTGATTCGGAACCCGTGTAAAGGGGAGGCTGGGTTGTTGCGTCTTTTACGGCGAGTTGGGCTTGGTTAACAGTTTGCGCACGGTAGATGCTTGTTGCGCCGTGGTAGATGAGGGAGCCGTCGAGCCCTGGCTGGAGGCCGGCTTGTACATGCGTAGTTATGTCTGATGATGAGTTTGTATCTACCGCGGTGAAGCTGCTGACTGGCGATTGCTTGCGAAATGATACAGTGCTCAACAGCGCTTCTCTCTCTCGTGGTGATGCCACTTGGACCTGAGTGATGAAGGACTCAAGCCATGCGACTCGATCCTCAAGACTTTTGACGTAGTCATGTGAGGCCGGACGCCTTTTGCGATCTATTTGGCTGTACTCGCAATTGTGCTTTGCTTTGACGCAATTCTGGCATGGCTCTGTTCGAGAGCATTTTAGCTGTTTGAGATGCGTGAGTGAGTGAGCCTGGCAAGATCATGATAGTCGGACCTTGCGATATTGACATCTCTTGCAACTTCAGGATATTAGACATCATTCCCGTGAATAAGAAAGTCACTTACGAGAGGTTCTTCTTTTCTCTAGTGGTATTTGTTTGTGTGGTGTCCATTGATACTTCATCTCTCTGGGTAATGTCTGTGGTGACGAACTCATTGAACTGGGCCCTTTGGAAGAGACAAGTGCGCCTTGACCATCACGTGCGGAAAAGGGGATTTTGAGATGACGTAAGGCCTTTTACTTAGGATTAGAGTCATAAGGTTATCAGCCAAAGTTCGAGTCAGTCCAACTTTGGCTTTAGCTTTATCTACCTGGGCGTATCACGAAACCGACATTCCGGTGTCGGACTTTTGCAGTCGCAGGAGGAAGGTAATTAAACAGCATTATCTGAAAACATATGACCAATTTAAAACAGTGAATTGATGATTGGTCCTTCTATTATTTATAATAACGAATCAAGATATAAAGACTCGCGTTTTCCTCTAATCTGAGCTATCAGACTCTGCCTCATTCCCAAGACCCATCTCCAACCCAGCCTGGATAACATCCACCAACCTCTCCACATCGTGCAAGTTGCTATAGAACCCAAACGAAACCCGAACACCCCACCTGAAGCAAGTTACGGCAACATCATGAGCCTTGAAATGCCTTGCCCATTCATCCCCGTACAACTTGAGGATGTATAAATGCGGCGCATGGTGCTCACGCTCTGACGGACCTGCAAGCTCAACACCGATGGCGTTGCACTTATCTCTTAGGCTATCGCCAAGACTGTATAAGTGCTCCTCTACGTCGTCTGGTCGCATAATGTCGAGATAGAATTGTAGGGATGCCTTTGCCGCTGTCGCTCCTAGTAGGTTGAGATTGGCATGATCATATCTTTGGGCTGATGGGTGAAAAGCGATCGGGTCATCCGAGATCAAGAAGTCCTCAGATGGGAACTCTAGAGACCCATAACCCACAATCGGCGGTACTGGATCATTGTTCTCGATAAAGTCTTGACAGACGTAGAGAGCCGCAAACCCTAGTGGGCAATTGAGTCCCTTATGAAGGCTGAACGCAGCTGCAGTCACACCAAGAGCTTCCACGTCGACATTGGCAAATCCAACTTGTTGGGTTAGATCAGCGAGGACGTGGATGCCTCGGGGTCGATACTCGGCGCAGATATCTGCCACGTCGTTCCTCTGACCGCTGTGGAACATGATGGAACTGATGCCAATACAGCGGGTTCGTTCATCCACATATGGTTCAAATGTTGCTGCGTTGGCGATGGTTGAGAAGTCGTCGTGTCTGGCATCTGTCGGTACTTGTCGAACTTCAATGCCTTGAGATCGAAGTGATAGCCATCCGTAAGCCTGATTCGGATGTTCGCAATCTAGAATGATCACGTTGTCACCAGGCTGCAGCCCAAGACTGCGCATGAAATAGCCCATGGCTTCGGTAGTGTCCCTCGTAAAGGATATGTTCTTGGGTTCGGTGTGAATGTATCGTCCAAGCAAAGCCCGGGCATCTTCCACAGTCGACTTCCAAAACGGTTTGGGTGAAAGATTATGTAGCCACTCGGAGCAAAAGTTACCGATGGCTTCGTGGACGACGAGATTTGAAGGTGGCATGAAACCAGCGTTGAGATGGGTGATGTTCTCATCTGCAGCGAGAGGTACCAGGCGTCGGAAGATGTCGAACTTGTCCGATGCGCGTGAGGCTGAGGTAGTCTTTGGTTGCTTGACAACTGGCGCTGCTTCTTCTGAGAAGCTTTGAGTGCTGATGGGTGCCATTGTGACTGAACAACTAAGGGTAGAGTGTGGATTTTGATGTGTACTGAAGCATGATGAACCGGAGGCGTACCGTGATGCTTTTATATCTCGAAGTGAGCTCTAACAATTGTGGACTGTCTATGGAACTCACGAAGTCTCGACAAGATAATGGACTCATCTCAAAAGCGTACAACTACACCATTGTGGGAACGGGGACCAAACCCCATGGGTTTGTTCCAGGATGAAAAAGACAAGAACACAACGACATCCGATGACGGGGGCCCCAAGCGGCTCATGCATCCTGTAGGAACAGCGCCTAGAGCCAAGGCCCTAGATACCAAGGTCAGCAACAACTACGGCATTAAACAAAAAGGTCGGGCGGTAATCCAAGTCGGTTCGTGTCCGGAGATGCGACCGGACCCGCCGGAACGGAGACCAAACTCCATGGACCCACTTGCTCCGGCGCCGCTCCGGGGCAAAAGTAGAACGGGGACCAAAGTCCGCTCGAGCACGTGAGTCCCTGACGTCCTAAAAATGACTACCTCCTACGAACACCACTTTTGGGGCTTGTTACGGGCGGAATAAAAATTTTCATGACTCAAAAGGCTTCTGTATTGTTTCTTCTCTCAGATCCCTGTCTGAACTGCCCACGGCTCCCTGACCCCTAACCTCCGCCACAATAACCACGCTTGTGACCCTTGGTAGCTTGTTCATACAATTGTGACTTCCTCCTCTCTGTTGCTTCTCAAAAGGCCACGAGCTAGGTTTGGATACTTTTCCTTATCTGCCGGACAGTAAGGTACATGAAAGACTCCCATCCGAATATATGTTTGATCAGAATGCTGACGCAAAATCAACCCAGTCAAATCCATCATGTCGCTGCTCGCGACGACAACCAATAGGTAGGCACGGACTGCGGTCATGCCATCTGTGGGTAAGCTTGCATCCACACCGTCTCTGTGGATGCTAATGGAAGGAATATTGGAAATAGTACCGTTGCTGTATTTCTCCGTTTCCTGTGGCAATTTCCAATCGACGGGTATGACGACTCCACGTAGTGTAAGACTGCCGTAGATAACCTTTCCGTAAACAGCCCCTTCCGCTACAGCTCTTATGTTGACTCTGAGGATGTCGACTTGGGAAATTCCAGAATCGACAAAAACACGGCCATTAATAGGACGCATTGTGGATGCCCAGGACCATGTTGGGGCAACCCAGGCCGAAGCTTGGGGTAGGGTTTGAGGCGATCCTCTCGCGAATCTGTCAACAATCCAGAGAAGTCCAGAGGGGAGATGCGATTGCCAGATGCCAGCTAGGTACCGATCTTCTGACTGGAGACCAAACCGCTCGGCGATACCTCCTATGGCTGGAAGGCGGTCCTCGGGCAGAGTAAGCGACCGTTTCGAGAACTCATCGACAAGCGTATGCCATGCCTCGGGAGTAACAGCTTCATTGCGATATAATACGCCACGAGAGACTTTCGTGTTTTTCTTGAGCTCTTGAACAGAGCACTTTCCTCCCCGCCTGTCACAATCGCTGTGCGACTGACAAGTCCAGTGCACACAGGCGGCACTATATTCGAGAATCCGACGTGAGAGCAGTCGTTCTTGGAAAGCCCAAGCTCTGTTCGACAAATAGTCTAACGGCGGCCGAAAAAGCTTTGGGGCGATGACCACGGGACTGACTTGGCCTTCTAGATCACGATAGCGCATCTTAAAGACCCAGTCTTGTTTGTTGCATCCATATGGTATCAGGTCCTGCAGGAACCCCTCTTGGACTCTCTCCGCCCTCGATGCTGCTATGGTGACTTGAGCGTTCTCGTAGACATGTCCCATGAGGTCAATTTCGCAGGCTTTGTCACCCTCATCATCCTGAATGATACAGAGCGCATCAACCCAGAGGTGTTGAAGGCCGAGATTCTCTGTCACGACCACTGCGTCCTTGATGGTTTGGGGTAGATCTTGGAAATTGATCCGTGTCCGATGACGAAGAATGCTTTGCGTCGTTGTCTGAACAATTTGCTCTCCTCCCCAGCAATAGGACAGGGCTGCGTATGGTACTTGACCTCCATGTGGCTCTGTTAACTGAAGTATTCTCCTTCCTTGACGAGTAAAAATCTTGATTAATCTGGTTGGCGTGAAGCTTCTTCTTGTAGTAAGGCGAGAACATTCGACATGATTTTGGACACAGTCTTGCAGCCAATGGCGTGCCTGGGCGAATGATGTTTCGGACGATACATTTGTGCTCGCGAGTGATTCGAACTTGTCGGCTGCAGGCCCTTCTGGTGTATGTAAGTGTCATATCTAGCATCTGTCTGAGAGCGGCTGCTACACTATTGGAGTCTTGAAGGGATAGTGCTCTTTCATTGGAAACGTACTGACCTTCAGCGAAGACCCCGAAAACGCAATGGTGAAGGACTTGGTATTTCAAACTCTCACTTGTAATACTACCACGCGTTGTATTGTAGAAGGCACTGATCTCGATAGCATTGTCATCCAGCTTGATACCAATCCAGAAGCGAGCCGGTCTCTGACTGTCACCACCATGCGCCTCCTCAGCGTCATTCGAGACTGTTTTGGGTTTTCGTATCTTGTTCAATCCGGAAGACACGAATTCGTAAAAAAGACACCCTTCAGAAACGGCATGGGCGATCTGCATGTCGTCTACCTCGACAAGAAATGTTCGCTCCAGCGCTTCGAGGATCGAGTTGTTGCGTAGCAGCGTTCTTAGTACTCGAAGTAAGAGGAGAGATTGGCTGGGCTCCACGATCTCGTATAAATCGGGATTATCCTCTGGGAGCGAAAGGATGATGCCATCGCAATGATGGCACGAGTGAGGGTTTGTATAGTTCATTGAGTCGGACCAGGATAACGACTCCGTGGAAAGCGAATTCTGGAAACGTTGGCAGTGGTTTCAAGCGCGAAAATTTGAGAGTAGTCATAGGTCTGTAGTTAAGCTTTATTGTCCTCAGGTCAAGACGAGAGAGGAAGATGATGTGAAAACTGGATGGGAGAGCTTGTGGCCATTATCTGCTCTACTCTGCTCAACACAGAGCGGGGGTGGTGGCTGAGCATTGCGGCTGAGCTGGCGAGGCATTCTTTTCAACCATGTTGGTGAATATGGCCTGAGCAACTGTCAAGCACCACAAGAAATTCTTGTTTAAAATGCTGGTAAGAAGAGGATTAAGTGCCGTTAAAATTTGGCATAGAGACGAGTTGATCCTCATGGCTATCTATATCGTGTACGAAATGGGGGAATGATGCTCCGGCCTGAAATGTGGGATAGAGATAAGGGATTCCGGTCCTGGGCGATGACCAATTTGAAACGCCAAAGTCCGGATAGTGCATTGACGTTATTGAGATGATTCCAGTGGAGTGTTGATCAGATGAGCAATGTTTCATAGAGTAGGGACATGAAACAGCTCCAGGATGCTGTTTTAGAGCCCATGCCATGTTGTTAGTTCATGAACTGTTGGTCAGGAGTGCATGATCTACATATCCTTATATCTCTTATTCGTTTATGAGGTAGATTAACTGAGGATAATATCTAATAGAAGCGATCATGGCCTGTCGGTGGCTTTGTAGATGCCCCTTTCTTTCGCAGCCAAAGTAAATGCATGGTTCCAGTAAACCTCCACTCGATCTTTCTGTCTTAAACGGGAAAATAGAATTCGAGAACACGTAAAGTGTAAATAACAGAATTATTTCTCCGTATATGTTGCTTTTGGATTGCTGATTCTCCGTGGCCAGCTATCATGCGGTGTTTCAGGTCTTCCCCAAGCGTTGCAAGTTAAGCACACCACCAATCGTTCCACTCAGAGTCCAGTGTTGATAGGTTGACTTGGGGGATGCTTTTCAAATGACATTTAAATGTCGGGAATCCCATGCATTCCTTATTGCGCTGTGTGGCTCAACCTGGTGTTGTTTCTCCCCTTGTTCTGTTTCTTGTTTCCTTCTTCTCGGTATCTTACAATGTTGCTGGCTCAAATTTTCTCCTTTTGCCTTGCTGTTAGCTCTGTTGCCGCAGCCCCAAAGCAGAACTGCAAAGCCGCTCGACAGTCACCTAGCATTCCCAGCAGCTTCCAATGGACCTCCACAGAACCCCTAATCGCCCCAAAGAATGATGACCGGGGCATTGCTGGCATCAAGGATCCTACAGTTGTCGAAGTAGATGGCACTTATCACGTCTTCGCTAGCACAGCCCAACAGTCTGGCTATAACCTTGTCTACCTCTCCTTCACGGACGTCGAAAAAGCAGGCGATGCAGAATTTCACTATTTGGACGAGACTCCTATCGGTACAGGCTACCGTGCCGCCCCTCAAGTCTTCTTCTTTGAGCCGCAAGGCCTCTGGTATCTGGTCTACCAGAATGGCAACGCTGCCTACTCTACCAACAAAGATATCAGCAACCCTGCTGGCTGGAGCGCTCCAAAGAATTTTTACTCTGCCCAACCGGATATCATCAAGCAGAATATTGGCAATGGCAACTGGGTCGACATGTGGGTGATCTGTGATTCTACAAACTGTCACCTCTTCTCGTCAGACGACAATGGTCAACTTTACCGTTCTTCGACGACTCTCCAGAATTTCCCCGAGGGCATGGATAACACGGTTATTGCTCTGTCCGACTCCAACCCGAACAGACTATTCGAAGCTTCATGCGTCTACACCCTCGAGGAAGGCGGCTACCTTCTCCTGGTAGAGGCTATTGGGAGCGACGGTGCACGATACTTCCGTTCCTGGACAGCATCAAGCATCGATGGGGAATGGACTGGCCTGGCTGACTCGGAGGAGAATCCATTTGCTCGATCCAACAATGTGAACTTTAGCGGCACTGCTTGGACCACGAGTATCAGCCATGGAGAGGTGGTCCGTACAAAGACTGACCAGACATTGACTGTAAGCCTCAGCGGCATGCGCTTTTTGTACCAGGGTCTGGATCCTGGCGCTTCTGGAGAGTACAATGCCCTGCCATGGAAGTTGGGTCTTATCACCCAGAGCAGCTCTTGATGGGTTGTAAATAAGTCCGATCAAGGAGTGTATTTAGTTTTGTCCTGATGAGAAGAACAATGAACTGGTAGCTTAAATACTAAGTTGCAAGGTATTCATGTGAATTAAATCTTGAATTCCTTTCCATTAGGTGCCCACGAGAAATAATTCCAGGCTGGAGAAATACTTGAGGCATCGCGGTATTGGCTCGCCTCGGTCTCGGAGCGCACACAACGGTAATGTGAGAGTATACAGGTAACGGCACATCAGGCTGACTTTGCAGGGAAATATACTGGCCCCAAATGATATGAAATCTATTAATCTAAGTCTAACCCTTTTGTATTATGTGGCTCCGGTGCACTCTGTTTACCAATTTTCTTTCCGTCATCAGTTCAAGCCAAGTGTGAGAGGCAAGAAGAAGGCGCTCGTGATCTGGATAGCCAGGGGAACAATAGCAACCATGGCAGTAGAATGAGGCCCGGGAGTGATGGTGTATCCCCAAGGTGCGCCGACTGCAAAGTAGATCATCATAGCCGCCAAGGCAATGCAAATGAGCCACGTATACTTGAAGCTGTCGATCATCTTATCGAGGCCGATGAAGAAACCGCTGGGTCCAGGCTCTTTGGCGGTCGAGGCCCACTCGATGTTGATGCTGAATGCGTGGCAGATGAGAGCTTTGGCACAGTTCAGGCTGATACCACCGAAGTAGATGATGAGGAAGGGGAGCCACTTGATGGCCTGGAGGAGGGCACGCCAGAAGACCTCTTCCTTTAACTGATGGCGGACCATGCTGAAGGCGAGGGAACCGAGGCCGTTGAAGACGACAACAAGGGACAGCCAGATGCCCCACGAGGGCATGTACAGGTGGTCAAGCTCATCAGGGAAAAGTCCAATGATGATGTAGTTGGCAGTCGTCAGGAAAAGACCAGAGGCGATAGCGTAGTCTGATGATGTTAGTTTTGCCATTGTTATGTGTCTTGGATTATACGTACATGTGAAGATGTAGGCAGTAATCGTAACCTTACTAGTGATGGGCATGTTGCTCCAGAGGAAGCGAAGAAACAGCCGGGTCACAGGACCCTTGTAGAACCATTGATAACTATCGAGTTAGCGCTGGGTATTAATGTGGTCGAGTCGTCAACTTACAAAGGGTGGAAAACAAGCTCATTGCAGCCATAAGCGTACTTCTCCCAGCGGGTCAACTCATCATACAGCGTGAGAGAAACACCTTCTTTGAAGCCGCCGTTATGGTACGTAGCAAGACGGACAATCATGCCTGCCATCTGGACGCGAAGACTGATGTCGAAATCTTCTGATACATGAGAGTCGGACCACCACTTGGTCTGGCCATCATCATCAACAAAGGCGATGCTCTGCATAGCTTTCCAGCGAAGGAAGGCATTGTGACCCACAAAGGGAGAGACATCGCCAGAGCCGACACCATACTTGATGGCCGTGTAGACGACGTTGGTGAAGTAAGTGACTTTAAACATCAGCGGATGAAGTGTTGACGGAGACGTGGAACTTACTGCCGTTCTCAAAGGTGTTGTGGACTACCTGCATCACGCCGGATCCATGCTGGAGGATGGCGACCTCAGGGCTCTCATGCATCTCCAGGGCGCCGTAGTAGAGAGAATCAACGGGAACTCGGGTGTCACAATCGATGATCAAGATGAGCTCGCCGATACGAATGTTGCCCTCAGCCCCTGTAGTAGTTAGCAAAGATGTCACTAATGACGAGATGTTGCTTACAAGTACGTCCATCATCCTCAGCCAGCATGTTAGCCAAAGCCTGTTGGTACAGCAGGTCGTCATCGTCGACAGTCAGGTCAGCCTCGGTGCATCCACGCTGATCGCACTCGATTTGAGTCAGGCGAACCATCTCATCCTCAACGCGGTTGGAAAAGGCAAGACCATAGTTCATGTTGCTGGCCTTCTTGAACTTGCCCTTACGCAGGAAACCGATCTTGTTGGAGCGTTCCTGGGGTGACATCTGCGACCACTCCTTTTCAGCGTCATTTCCGACTGACTTCTCGGACTTGCGGAACCAGGACAGAAAGCCACCCTTCTTCTTAGGGGCTTTGCAGTTGGGTAGACGGGCAGTGTAGCCAATGTCGTTTTCGCGGTAGTAAGCCTTGCGAGCCTCAGCCAGATCAGGCTGGATGAGCTGCATGCCGTCGTCATTGATGAAGACAGAGGCAGTCCCACCCTGCTGCTCATAGTACTCGATGGCAGCCATGACACTGATCATTGTGGGGACAATCACACCCTTCAGACCCTCCTTGTAGACAGGCATCTGGATTGTGATGTGAGGCAGCTCATAGTCGCGGTGTCGCTTGGGGTTGGGCTTGATAGCGGAGTGGAAGCGGGAGTTCTTCAGGCAGTTACTGACGGGAAGGAAGAGCTGGAAAATACTGGTGACGAGAACAATGAAGAAGAAGAGGGAGAAGAGGGTCAGAGGAGGAATGGTGGCGACGAGGCCGAAACGGGCCATGCGGCCGTCCCAGAAGTACTCGTTCAGCAACTGTCAGATGTTAGCATGACATTTCTAATGCGAGACAGCTGACGAACCTTGGTGATGCCCAAAGATTGGGTGATGATGACCAACATGATGGCCAGGCTGATCTTGAAGGCATGCATCTTGAGCTTGGGCCGGACAGGTGTACCCTCGACGTCCTCATTCTCATCCTCATTCTCCTCGAGGGCGACGGCACGCTGTAAGACTTCATTCTTCTCATCGAGGCCACCACGAACGACCGCAGGAGTAGGGACAGGTGTAGTGCTGGAGGAGCGTTGGGTGAAGCTCGAAGGAGTCCGTCCGTTGATGGGGTCTTCCTCGAGAGTGGTTTGGGCCTCGGTAGGGTTAGTCTCTGGTATGGTATTGGACATGCACCGGCACTTACCATGTCGAGAATCTCTCGCTGCACGTGGTTGGTCACGTTGATGATGGCCTTTGGGTCCTGTGACCATACGATAACAACGCGCTCCTGGAGGGCAATGCAGGCACGTGAGTAGTGGCACATCTCAGGTGTCACATCCTCAAGTGTAGGCACGACAGGGATGCGAGCGCCAGTTGCATCAGAGACGAGCGATCTCTGGGTAGGGGGGATGGAGTCGATGATGCTGATCAGCATCTCCGAGGAGATGGACATGACTGCCTCGGCGTCGAGCTTGGACACGACCGACGCGAGAAGGGGATCAACATCGGCAGGCTGGAAGACGTAGCTGCCTTCGTTCTTGATGGCGACGCCGGTGAGGGAGAGCCCGTTGACCACGGATGTCTCGACAGGCTCGTCAAACCAACCGAGCAGAGTTGCCCGTCGAGAGACATACTTGGCAATCTGAAGACATCAGTCACAGTTGCAAAATTCAAAAACAGTCAAGTCGTACCATGGAAGGATCTTGAACGTCATAATCACCAATGAAAGAATGCCGTGAGGCAGCAATCGACGCTGGGCGGGAGCGAGACTTGAACTCAGAAGGAGATCGGCTCGGCATGTACGGCCGAGGAGGAAAGGAGAGGCTGGAAGGACGTGTTTGGTCAGGGGTGGTGGAACCTGACGACGATCCTCGGACCTCCTGGAGGGCGGCCAAGGTGTCTTGGTCGAACCTCTTGGGGGTATCCGTGGGATGCTCCTGACCCTTGAGAGTGGGCTCCTGAGTCTGAGTGCTCATGTTTGGCAAAAAGTTGAAGACAAGAGGCCAACGAGGATTGTCAGAATGGATTAGCTTGTTGTGATGAGGATGTGCTCAGAGTACCAGAGATTAAAGCCCCCGTTATATGGACACGAGATAAACACGCGGATGCCTACAAGAGCCATCTCCCAAGGATCCATCCTCAGTCTCGAATCCATGATTACTGCGCAATCTTTGAAAAATCTGATATCACCGCAAACTATTGAAGCCTCGAACACGCGGCAAGGTTGTTGGCGAGAGGATCCCGAGAGCTGAACTCGAGATACGAAGCAGCGACAGCCACCCTCAACAGGCCCAAACGAAACTATTGAAAGAAGTGCTTGCTAGATGGGGGATCCGAAGGAGATCCTTGCGGCTAGAATCCCCGTGAAGAGGCAATCCGTGGCGAGGCAGGGGTCTGAGATGGCCATGCTTGATTGCTGAGCACGGCAGATCGAGGCAACATGGTTCCATTGATAGGCGCCTTCTCAATCGTGGTTCTGGATGTGGTCTTATCAGAACTCGGCAGTACGCTGTGGCTTGAGGCTTCCAATATCGGCCTCTCAGCGCCTAAACTGGAAGCACAGTGACAAACTAGTGACCAAGATGCTGCAGTTTGCATGGTTAGAGAGCCTCAAGAATCACTCCAGGGACGAGGGAGACTGTTGCACGTTGGAAAGATCTGGAAACTTGGGCGCCACAACACGCAACCGACGTCTCGGCGGAGCCCTTTGGACCGCTCTACCGGAAGCTGAAGTTCCCGGAACCTGGAAATCCCCTGCCAAGGTTTCAGCGATCTCGCTTCTCAGTGCCACAATGGGATGAGGCCTGGACCTTGTGCTACCCCTTTGAGTGCTTGTGTTAGTCACTGCCGAGGAGTTGCCCCTGTAGGGCTACGAAAGCCTACTACTCTACATGTACCCGCTGCTGTAAGTGGAAGAGGCTCTGCGCTGCCACGTTGTTGTGCACAAGTAAGCATACGAACCGGCCCATGGTCGGGTTGCTGCGTCTATTCGTCTGTAAGGGGTTAGCTGGATGCCCAGGCCTGGTCATTATTATGTATAAACGAGGGTACGCAGTTAAAAATAAACACAATTATGAATTAAGCAGCACAGATTCACATATATTATTCCCCCAATATCCTTTGACGTTTTGGCCGAGCCCAATGATAAGCTTAATATTAGCACGCGGCTTAACGGCAAACACAATGGCCGTGGCTGGACGAGTACCTTGGTGGTTATCATCAGCCTCAAGCCAACAAACAGTGGCTACACGAGGGCATTCATTCAATGCAACGCTGTGGCTGGCTGATTGGCGTAGACATGGCTACCCGTTTCGTAACGTCC